GACTGTGCTTTGGAAGAAACTCCATCTCACAGCTGAAAGTGAGGGGTGGAGCAAAGCTTCCTCAGACCATGTCTTGTAGATGGATACAAGAAGCATTTTCCTGAAGTTATTATATTCAAAATAGGTGGCACTAGATGTTAGGGTTAGGGTGTCCTAACTTTCGTCCCAGTTAGAAAACGTTTTTGTTGATAGATTATTTAAAATGTATAAAAAAATTATGTGCAATTAGGTCACTTGCGTTATCAGGAAAAAAAGATAATACATGAAAATGTTTATGTTTATGCTACTAGTGGCCTTTATTTGTATCAAATTATTTTGACAATAAGCTGACAGGAAAGGGGTAGAGAGAGGGCTAAGACATGCAGCCTGGGCCAGGAGTCGAACCTGCAACAGCTGCGTTGAGAACTGAAGCCTCTGGATATGGGTCACGTGTTTTACCCTTTGCACCACCGCTGCCACCCAACATTTTTAATAAAGGCACTGAATATGTGGAACATATATGAACCAACAGTAGCCTATAGGATTACAAAGACTTCTTGAGTCTTTGGGTCTCATGTAAAATTTTTTTTTTTTTTTTTACCATCGTATTTTTCATTCAAAGAGAAAATTATGCCGATTTTTTTTTTTGCAATTTTCCTATAATAATCCATTAGTAATTCTCCTTCTTTTTAGACCCATCACTTCTATAATTCCTTTTTCACTTCTTTGCTGGCAGTAGTAAACGGAAGTACGCAGTTGGACCATAAAGGTTGTGGGTTTAATTATCCGAAGCAGAGCTACTCTTAACCAGAAGTTGCCCCGCTTGGCTGGGTGAGGTGGACAATGACCTTTACCATCTGGACCTGACAAAACAGTGAACAGTGAATGCAAACCAGTCACTTCATCACTCTGTTCCACATGTGCCACATTTGTAACTCAACCACATGGGGATTTATACCTTACTCTGCAAACATACAATCAAATTTATATAAATTCTCACAAAGTGTAAAAATATACACACTGCAATGCGGACAGTTTGTTTGTTCCATATTTAACATCTTACTGGGGTCCCAAATCTACCTGGCAGCCTTTCAAACTGTGTGTGTGTGGGTGTGTTTGTCTAGTTGGCACAGATCTGTACCAGCCTCAAAGAACAGATGGTCCTCCGGCAGGTAATAATGACCCAAGACAAAGTTTCACATTTTATTATGTCTTTGTGAGGGCATATGTTCAAAGTATCACTTCTATCATGAGAGGGAGGCAAACATAAAAAGAAAGAGAGAATCACAAAGACAGCCCAAACGTCTGTTTAGTTTAGAGAAAGTTCTGAAGTTGGTCAAACCACCTGAAAGTCTAAAAAATCCAGATAAATTCTCCCCTTAAATCCCACAACTTTTTGATCAAGGTCATAAAGCGTTGTTTTCTTATTTTTTTTTTATTTTTGTATGGTTTTGTTTTTAAATTAAGCAGCAATACTTAAAATTTCCATCACACATTTTATGGGATGGGTCATTGATTTCTGAACGGAAGATTGGCCTGTCAGAAGTCAGATTGCTGGGTCTATTTAAAGCCTCAGCTTTACTGTTTTACATGATTCACATCCTTGATGTTTTATTAGCAGTCTAAGTGAGGTCTTAAATTCTGATATGAGAATAATTTACGATTTAATGACTGCGGTGTATTGCTAGGCAACAAGTCCATAAAATACATCTCCTCAACCAGAGTAGCCAGGGGTTTGCTTAGTGAGTGATATTTAGATATGAATCATTTTACTGTAGTTTTCCCATAACATTCTGGTAAAAAAAAACTAGGCATGCAAAGTAAACCAATTTACCATAAAATACACAGAGACAGAGTCAGATACTTCAAACTGAACTATTCTGTTTTGATTTAGTTAATTTGCTATTGTTCTACAGAAATATACTAAGCGTGGATTTGTTGAGGCTAGAGATGCATAGCTGGTGGTCGGAATTGGACAGTTTTCACCCTATCTGGGCTGCCTGAAGGCCCATCATTTTTCTGCTCATTGTTAGGCCCCATAACCAAGCCCTAACAGGTCGCTCTAACAACAAAACTCTGCGTGGAAGTTGCTAATCAGAAGAAGACTCAACATTACCTATTTTCAGTATCAGTGAGGAGTTTCAAAATGTAGTCTGAGAAAGCACAAACCATGTGAGAAGTTGTTTAAGAGGATTTCTACAGAGGCATGTATGTGGTTCATTCAGGCTGCTACTTTTAAAAAGTGGATGGGATACTTGTATTGCAGCAAAGTTCAACCTCAGTCTGTCATGGAACATGCTGGCTTTGGAAATATTAGCCTTTTGGAAATCTCATGATTAAGGTAAGGGTCTAGATTCTGTGGGGAGTGCACACAGAGATTGCTGGTCACAGTTACTAAAGCGGTGCTAATGGATATAAATATATTATATTAAATATAAGATGCGAAAGACAATTCAAAATCATGTTGTCTTTGTTTAAAAAAGTAGTAAACAGGATTCAATGTTATCTCTACTCCTATTTTAAATAATTAATGACCACTAACAGTAAGAAGGCTAGAAAAATGTGGAATGTTTGAAATTGTAGTTATAGAAGAAAAATAATAATTGGATAAAACTGGTATCGGCTTTACCAAACAGGTGACTGGCTCCAAAAAAAATCTAACTGATGTATTATTAGTTATTAATACCATGTTATTTTACACAAGCCTCTCAAAATAAAATGTGTTTTCAGGAGGTTTACTATGTTTATTTTTATTCAGCAAAAATTACTTATTGCAAATAAAACATATGTTGTTTAGCATGTTTTAGGACCTAAAGTCATTGTCTTTGAAAACACTGTACACGTGTTTAACCCCATGAGCCACCGCCGCCACCCCACATTTTTAATAAAGGCAGTGAATATGTGGAATATATACGAATCAACAGTAGCCTATAGGATTACAAAGACAAGAACACAAAAGAGAGGAGTCTTGTGGTCTCATGTAAAGTTTGTTCCCTTTCTATTTTTCATTCAAAGAGAAAATTACGCTGATTTTTTTTGCAATTTTTCTGTAATAATCCATCAGTAATTCTCCTTTAGACCCATCACTTCTATAATTCCTTTTTCACTTCTTTGCTGGCAGTAGTAAACGGAAGTATAACACCCATTGTTCAAGGAAAGGAATGAGAAGTAGTTTAACTAATCTCCAAAATTCTTGCATATTCAATGAATGCTAGAGAGCTCATGCTACAGCATCCCAATTAAGTTTGACTAGGCCACTCCAAAAACTTCATGGGCTTTCTAACCCATGAAAACTGATAGACTTCAGTGATTTTGTCTGTCATTTGTTCTTGAATTTCTTTAGATCAGAGCATTATGTGTTGTTCTTTGAGATATTTAGGCCTACCAGCACTTGTCACTAAGGTTCTATTCAAGTAATGTTCATTAGGACTGGGTGTGGGTAGTGAAAAGGAGCAAAAAGAAGTGGTTAATCACAGTTATTCATTGATTTAACATGGGAGTAATTATTATATGCATATATATACACACACACATTATATTTATTATTATATATATTATATAATATAATTAATATATATATATATATTAATATATATATTAAAATATACACCCACATATATTTATGTACACTAAAGGGCCTCATTGGTTTAGATAACTTTCTTTTCTAAATAAATGAAATCATAATAATTGCTGTTTGTACATACTCGGGTCATCCTTGTCTGATATTATACTTGGTTTCATGATCTGAAACATAACCAAGTATAACCAAGAATTCAAAACCACAAGAAATCTATAAAGAGGGAATTACATTTTAACATTAATTTAGATTAGGGAAAATCCTGGCTCTGTAAAGATTGGGCATCAATGAAAATAACCTTTGCAAACGTAAAATCTCAAAGGAAAAGGCCATAATTATTTTTCTGTTAGGGCCACATTTTGCAACAACTTTCCAAATGACTTCTAAATTATTGCAAACATCCAAGGATGGTTTCTTCCTCCGCAATCCACAAGGAAGATAAGAGAAGGAGCATGCTGCTCAGATTAAGAAACCAGACAGCCTACTTTCACAAGCACATTTGGAACCAAAGTATTAACTCTTTCATCACCTCAGATTGTGGCAGGAGCCCATATATTGCCTTGAATCAAAGAAGGTTCCATAAACACCAGTTAGATCAAGTAATACATTCAGCTTCCAGGGGCTACTTTTCGCACCTGGGATTTTCTGCTCTCTGTAAGTCTGTTAAATTGAATCCTCTCTGTCTCAAACCTAATGACTTTGTCTAAAATGGCTCTCTTCAATACAGGATGTCAATACAGGATGTCTGTGACATAACTTAAGAGAAATTATCATTTTTTTTTTACATTAGCTAAAAACTCTAAAATGAGATGGATGTAAAAGGAAAGACGAATTGCTTAAGGCCTGCTTACTAGCTGCTGATTGTTTTTGCAATAGTTGATTTTATTCCAGAGGACTAATGGTTTTAAGCACACATAATAATCATTGTGTTTGAATGTAAGTTTTTGTACATACATACAATAATATTTTTGTATTTAAATAAATTGTGCATGTGTCTTAAATATTGTTTACAACCTAATATCCATCCAAAAAGAAGAACCCAAATTTAGTTAAAGACTCTACTGTGTAGGTTTATCTAAAACTAAGATATGCTAATGCAATTTGTATTTCCTTTTTGACATCACAAGATATGTGTGTCCTCTTAACATTACCTTGCCAACCAGATGAGAAAACTGTTATGTTTAATTGGAAATTCTTACAATTATAATTTTTTTCTTCGAAGCAGAATAAAATTATTGATTACCAAGGACACAACAAAGGAAATTGTGCAGGACAAGAAATAAATTAGTAATGACAAGGCAGATAGACAAAAAATACAAAAACTAAAAAGGTTCAAAATCTTAGTTAGGGCTAAATCAATTAGTAATTTAGTTTTGGACACTCAGTTTCAAGCATTAAAAGCAGAATGATGCACAAACATGGCAAGCAGAGGTTTTTGATTTGGGGCGCTGGTGGCTCTTTGGTAGAGCGAGCACACCATCTGCAGAGGCTGTGGTCCTCAATGCGGTTGTCCTGGGTTCAATTCTCAGTCCCAGGCCATTTGAATGGCCTGTACTTGTATTGCACTTTATCAAGTCTGAGGACCCCAAAGCTCTTTAAAATGCACTTTTTTTTACAATGAAGGTCAATAGTGCCAAAAAATCTTTGAAAAAAAAGGTTTGATTTTAACTTCTAAATAAAAATATAGCATATGTGTGTGTAATTTACAACTTTACAACATTCTTTGTATTTTTTTAAAAGGTTTCACTCCAAAACGTTTAAAATCCTGGATTGTATAGGCTCCAGTAACTACACAGAGGCAACCAATCTTCAAATTTAATTTTTAGCATACACGTTAGCCCAAAATGTTTGACATGTTTTATTGGTCTCTGGTTTGACCTGGTTGATGGAAAAATAACATCCAGTAAGTTTTTAGGTGATAGACAGTAAAACACAATCTCTTCCAGTGCATTGTTAACATTCAATAAAGCATTTTAAAATAATGTGCATTTTTATTCAGTGGCTACATCTCTCAATGGCATTATTTGAAGGTTAAACGTAAAAATACAGAGTTTATAGCAAGTGTTTCTTACAGAGACTGAAGCATTTTACTACTTGGAATTATTCACTAATGAATCATGGTGAAAAATAAAGTTTTCAAGTTATTAAACATTCAAACACTACTTTAAATGTAGTTTAAACTATCCAGAAGGTTTGTAAAGTAGGTGATATTATAGTAGCAAAAGTAATTTTAAAATGGAAGATAATGAACAGTCACAATCTTATGTGCAATGTGCAACACTATAAATGTCTTTATTTTATATAAATATGTAGCAATTCTTGAAAAAATGATTTTAATAATATCAAAAATGCAACTATGTTTACATTATAAATACAATTCTATTTTATCATTAGGGTTGGGGCAAATAAACACAGAAATGATGCAACAGACACAAAATGCATTTTTTTCCTTGGCCATCTCCTAAATCCTAAATCCTATAGAACACCTGTTAGCTGAATAGAAGAGAGCGTAAGAGAGGAGCCAGGACTCAGTGTTGTAGAGTGATTGGGTAGATTAGATATGCTCTAGCTCTATATGCTGCCCTAATGACAAATGTGTGTTAAAAATACCAAAGCTGTGACACTAAGCATGACACAAAAAATGTTATTTCATAACATGTTTTTACTCCAGTGCAAAGGACAAAAAAAGGTAAGATTAACAAAGAAATAGCAGGTAATATTATTCTACTGCAATAGAAGATAAATTTATTTTAAGGATTTTTACACATCTTTATCAGGAGTGTCAACAGGTGAGAAGGGCACAGCACATACAAGTTAGGGCAGTAAACAAGGTTTAAACAGGATATACCTCCTTCAACATGCTGAGGAACCATGTTCCATTCACATACATCCGATGTAATATGTCTGTCAAATAAATATGAGGGTGTTCTAGTTTGTCCCTCACCAATTTGTCCAACTTTAGGTAACATTTGTCATTAAACAAATATTGTCTTTAGATATTTGTTTACATATTTATAATAATATTTCATATAATTGCCAATCAAATGTGAAGAAACACCTGTAAATATATTGTACATAAAAACAATGCCTTTAATTTACTTATTGCTTAAGAACTTTGATTTCAAAACTATATCTATTAGTTCTTTGGGACTTTGATATCAACAAACGACAACAATCTGCATCAAACTCTGATTGGAACTGTGTTGGTCTGACCCATGTCCCAGACTGAAAGAACTGGCATCTGCAGTCAGTTTGTAGAGCTCCAGGGCAGTTGGCTGCTGACGAGATGGTTCTGTCTGGTAATACATTGGCTGCAACACGCTAAACTTGGACTGGATTCTGTCTCAGTGGCCATCTGGACCGCTGGTCCCGATATTTTTTTTTACTTTGATCTCTTCATCTCCATCTGTCTCAATGACTTAACCCACTGACTGACTTTGTCTGTGTTCAGCCGACTGGATTTTGATCACTTCGACCCAACTAAGAGGCTGACTGACTTTATCTTTCTGAATTACTGATTACAAATTTGCTCTGTTGACTTTACAAATGTTTGTGAAGAACCAAGCTATGTCCAATTCCAAATTCATTTATATAGGGGTGTCCACCGAAATACCATTCATCAAAACTAATTTATTCATAATGGTTAATACAGCTAGCATTTATGGAGGAGAAAGAGAGAGAAAAAGAAAACAAACAAACAAACAATGTTATGTTGTCCTTATCTTTGAGTCTTGTTCAATAGTAAAGAGGTCTGTTGAGGTGAACAATGTGGTGAGCTAGATTTACTGGTCCATCTACATGTCAAACCTCACCTCTGTGGGACAGAGATATTCAAAAGTCATTTATCCCCAAGTCAAGTCTGAAGTCTCCAAGTATGCCATCTGCCTAACACTGAATTCCTGTACTTCATAAATTGTAATAATGCACTGCTTGTCCTAAGGCCTAATTGACCATGAAAACATTTTAAATGTGCATCTAACACTGAATTTAATGTTTAAAAAAAATTGTATTGTTTAGAACAGAGTTAAAACACAATATTTACCATTTTTGAAATACATATGAAATTAAGTTCTTAACAAAATAATAAAATTAATGTTGACTACCTAAATGAATCAAACAAAGTGCTTTTTCTCTTTTTCATGCAGTTAAAAGCTGTGAATCCTTGTGTTCAGAATGTTCCCTCCTTCACTATAAAATGCTCTTTGTGATTGGAGGGTTTTCTCCTCCTTCCTCTGAATCGGACAATTTCAGGATCATTAGGAAATAAAGTCCTAAATCAGCATTTAAAACCTTTGTTGTCAAGTATTAAAATCTAACATGCTCCAAGGTTAGCTATAAGTTAGCTATGAATTACCATGTGTGCAGGTAGGCACAGTGTAGTGACCAAATGAGAATTCTGAATGTCTAAATGAAGAGAGTAGGAAGTGTGTGTGTTTTTTATAAGCCTGAAGTGTCTTTGTAATGACCTAACAAGCCTAACAGACAGACAATAAAATGACAGTGGTGAGTTGAGTTTACTTTGTCATAAAAATGACCCAAAGTCACCTATTACGCAGTTCAGTTTGAAAGACCTTCATGTGGTCATTATTATGGAACTACAGATGAAATTCACAGATTTTTATGAATCATTAACAAGGCAAAGGCTACAAAAGCCCTTTCAAAAAAAAATAAATAAATCAAGCCCAGTATTTTAAGTGTAAAAATGCAAATGGAGAACATCATCTGTCAAAAGTTGTGGTCTGTAGCTTACATACTAGTTTGCTTTCACCCATGAGAAAAAAATAAATAAAAAATTATGGCGACTCGAGTCCCAGGCATAGAGGAAAAAGACACGACTACAGCATCAGCCTAAATGGTGAACTATTTATTCTGCTAGTTATGTTTAAAATTCATAACAGTATATTACCAGCATGTTTGCAAAAAAAAACATTTATTAAAAGAGATAGCATTTATAATTTGAGAGGATCAGAGATTTTAAAAAGACCTAAAGTCAGAATTAAACAAATTGAACATTGTATTTCTGTTTATGGAATAAATCTGTGGAATAATTTGTCTAAAGAAACCAGAGAGAGTGGATTAAGAAAATAATAAAATACTTTTCTATTAAGGTAAAATGGAGTACAGAGAGTACAGTAGATTTTTTGCTTGCTTTGTGTTAAAAGATGGATCTATATGTATGGTTGATTGATGTTTAGTTATGGTGTAGTGAATTGACGTTTGAGAGAAGGGGTAGACTATATAAGATTCTTTTTTTCTTGAAACTACTCCTTTTCATACAAAACCTTTGTTTACGTCAACATGTGACATGTTCATTTTAAATTGTAAATGAAAAAATAAAAAAAAATATGGAATGTGATGTTTCTGTTTTCACAACTTAAGTGCAACTTGAGTTTGAGTCTGACACTGGTGTGAGGAGTCAAATCCAACGTTTCTGGGAAAAGACTGAACGATTAAGCTGGTGATGCAATTAACAGCTTGGTGTTACATTTGGGTGCATAAATGTTCCTGCTAAAATCTAATTTAGAACTACAATTAAATGATTTCAAATTTCTGTGTACAGACTTTAAAAAAGTCATTTCCAGATTCTAACAGTGCAGTAAAATGTTATGGTAAAAAAAACAAACAAAAAAAACATTTTACCTTCTTTCTACTCACATGGGATTTTTTGTGTCACCATTTAGAGGAAGCCAAAACGGTTTGAGTGTAGCTCCCCTTATAATCTGTTTTGCGTTGCGAGTGACAGAGGCATAAAAACAGCCAGTTATGTTTTGGCTCAACCACTATCTAAAAAAATAGTGATGAATAAAAAACTAAATTATCACCACAGAGAAGGTAAAATGCTAGTGCTTAACAAATGCAGCAGCTACTTTCAGAACTCCCCATACATCAACCTAATTATAGCAATACATAAATGTCCTCAACATATTTGACCTATTTCTAACCAGGTAACATTTTAACCTGGTTTCTTAATTTGGGGCCCGTTTCTATAGTTCATTAAAAGTGCCTGTTTTTTTTAGTTTTTTTTTTAACAATGCTGAGGTTGACGGCTGAGGGAAGAGGCCTGGAACAGAATTATTATAGTAACAAAAAAGAAGATTTCTCTGTTCGTGGTAGTGTCATTAATTTTCTGTGGCCTTAATTAACTATGGCAAACCTGTAATTTATATATACCGGGCCCCTGGAGGCATGGGAGATGAGGAGAGGAAAGAACAGTTATGGCTTGGGCAGAAAAATGAGTGGCGACAGGAACATGGAAAGGGTGGAGAGTTTGCGCTGTGTGTTAGTAGTTAACAGCATGCCACCGACTATTTGACCAAGGACTTCTTTCACTGGAAATTCCATTATGAAATAATCAACCCATTTCAATGTGATGAATTTGGCCTGGACCCTCTGATTAATCACTGAATTTAGACAGCAAAATACACACAGGGCTGAAATTATAAGAGCAGGGGTTGGTTTAAATAACTGTGCATCCTACTATTGTTGTTTCAGTAAAACACTATGATGAACAGAGGTTTGTTCATAATATACTAGTATAT